CACGAATGGACTTCGAAATGGCGTTTTATAACGTGGAACGCTCAATAACTCTATCAGTCTCGTACTATGATCGCCGGAAGGAACCAGGATTTCTTAAATGGAAAGAGAGGATCTCCCATGAGAAACTTTCAGAGATTACGAAGATACCGCAAATAAGAATCGACTCACAGCACAAGAAACGCAAAACATTTGGCGATATTGACGGTGTGGACGAATGAAACTCTCAGCAGACCAGGAACTTAATCCTTGTAAAATGTTCTGTTAATATCTTTTTGTCCGATATTTCTTTTTCTGAGGAAGAAAATGTATATATATATTATATACTTCATTTTTATATATTTTCACATATTATTTATAATTTTAAGTATTACTTCTCTCTTAAGAACGTTTACATCTTTAACTCTTAAATCTACCTTTTCGAAATTTTCATGAAAAAAGAAAAATGCAAAATAAAGCTTTTTTATACGTGACATTGTTAAGATAACTTTAAAATAAAAAATTTTTATGCCTTACTTTATTTTTATTTCTATACTGTAACATTTTTGCTCTATAAAAAGAGTTAAATCTAAATCAGAATATAAGCTGTCGATTCCATACAGACTATGTGAATTCATAGCATTTAAAGTGCAATTTGCTCTGCCAATAAAATAAACCATTTAATTAATGTTTGTACAATACTAGCATTTCTGAAAAAATGATATAGCAACATAAAATACATATTTAAAGCATCTCCACGATTGAAAAATTTATGAGTTTTGTATTTTTGTGCATTCAATTTTTCTAGAATCTGAAAGAATTTGTAATATATGCAATGATATTATTATTATTTATCACTTCGTCTTGTTGCATGACTTATATCAAATTGTTTTTTTATTTGTTTTTTTCTCTTTTTCTCCCTCCGTCTCTTTCTTTCTCTCACTCCCCTAAAACTGTATAATTCATAAATAACATGCGTGAATTGTTAAAAAATTTAGGGCTTTTTCTGCTTGCAAAGAAGCTTGAGAATCACTGCATCTCATTATTCATATTAATATCACAAAGCGCGTCTTTTGCATGCCAGTATCACTTCTCAGAAAACAAATGCAATTAAAATAGCCAGGGATAAGCCGTCGATTTTCCGAGGGCATAATTGTTATATGAAACTAGATTAATCACCGTTCGATCCGGTTAAAACGACTCGATCGCCTACTTATTGTTTACGCGGCCGGATAATGACCCATATTTTTTCGACAAGACAATTTTTGCCTGTCGGTCGTAATATCTCCGAAAGAAACTAGATGGAAAAATGCGTGACGTATCTGAGCTGATTGTCATGTCACGAAGATGGGTCGCGACGGAGTTATTTTCCATGCTGCATTGATAAGATAACGCGATCCGCTGGGGGTACCGGAGTCAGATAATTTCTTGCCACTTGATGACATCCGACGATATCTCCGTTTATTGACGCACAAAGCGTGTTATTTTGGTTGACACGTGATGCGCGAAAATAATAGACGCGAAATTGATATCTCCATTTTATCGATTTTTGTTTAATATATGGACATATATTTGTAAAATCCGTGAAATTCACTGAGTATTTTAAAAAACGTTCATAAGAAAAATTTTATCATTCAATTTTTTTAGACGAAAATCTGATTTTATCCATCCTTTTTTAAAAGATCTGTTTTTTCAATTATTTAAACGCACATCTTTTAAATTCTCAGTGATTTAAATTATGCTTCATGAAAATCTAAAATTTGTTACTTTGTTCTAAACACGCTGAAGACGTGTGATTTGTGCTTTCATCTTACAGCAATCGCATTATCAGTTGTCAGAGAGGAACAGCGAAAATTGAGTTGTTTGCAAGAGAGTGCAGAGAGCAAGGAATGAAAAAAAGAAAGAGAGAAGGAGGAAGAGAGAAAGAACTCGGGATGATTGCACCAGCGAAGAGTCATAGAGATATCACGCTGTAATAAGATTATTTATTGCTGAATCGCGCAGACCCCCAGCAGCAGCAATTGCATCACTTTCGCATCGCGCGATCCAGCGTGACCCTGTCGTGTTGCACGACGATGGAAAATATATTTTACACTCTACGTGCTTTTTAACGAATACGCGACACGATAATCCATCGTTTTACAGTCCGTTACGCAAAAACACTATCGTTTTTTTTTTGCGTAAATTGGATGAATCTCACCGGATTTCCAGTCAACAATGATGGCACATCTTCGAACTTATTCTACGATATGAACAGGTCGAGATATCGTAACGAATTATCGCGAAAGGATGTTTCTTTTTTCTTTCTTTTTTTCCTTACGTTAATGAATTACGCATTCGTTTCTCTCGATTAGTTTTTCATTTACAATTTTTAATCAAATGCCGAAGTCGATGGACATGTAATTTGTGCATAACAATCACAGAATTATTTGAAAGACACTTTTTAGAATAAATAATTTTAATGATTAAGAATAAGATACTTTTTTTATTTTAAGATAATAAGAAGAATTAAATTCGAATCGTTTAAGTGCAATATATTATTCCATAAAATAAGAAAGAATATTATATTAATATTTAAAAAATTGTCATATTATTATTTCTAATATGTGCAAAAACATCAGTATTTATGAAATAAAAATATCTTAATCTTTTTGACATGAATCATTCGAATATGAACTTATACAAGAATCGTTGCTTTGTTTGGTGGCACAATTTATTGTAGCAGAAACATTTGTTCATTCCACATGCAATTGATGTTGCAAATATCAATGAAAAAAAAAATTTGTTAAAAAGAATGAAATAATATCACAATATTGATATAATTCAATGTGTGTAAAAAATAAATAACAGAATGAAAGAGGAGATTTTAATTTTCCGTATTCAGAAAATTCCGTGTTTTAACTTCTAACTTGAAAGACTCTGACTCGACTTTTTTAAACAAAAAAAATATAATTAAACATGCTATCAAATAGCAACAAATGAAACTTAAATTTATTTTTGTTTATCTTTAAAATTATAGTGAAATTGAAGAAATGTACGAACAAAAAAGAAATTTATAATTGTTGAAAATCAAATATTTAAAAATGAAATCACCATGCAATTTATTGCATATAATCCTATTTTTAGAACAAAAAATATAATTATATAGTAAAATTACATTTCAAAGTAAAGATTATTTTTATGTAATTCATGGAGAAAATATATTAACGTCACGATTCTTTATGTTTTCTATTTAAAATATAATTTTTGAATGTCAAATAAATATTATCAGTATTTGTCAGGTACTATCAATGATAAAGTTTTGTTATGATCACTTCATAACAAAAATGAAGAGATCAAATACGATAAAGAAAGCCAATAACGATCAAAGTTGGATATTTCAAATAATTTATTATTCTTATATTAAATTTATTTCAGATATGATTGAGAAGAGCCAAAAAAAACTTTCGGTTTCAATATAGAGTCATAAAACGCTAATAATCCTCCTAAATTAGAATAGATAGAAAGGAAGTAAGAAACTTATTTTGCGGAAAATATTATCTCAGTCAGGATTCGAACCTGGGACCTCTCAACTTTCCGGGAAGTGTCTTGAAAAATGAAAAGTACAGTCTGTTCAATAAGAACTCATTATTCTACAAAGAGCGATTGTAGCGATATCTTCCTGAACTCTTTGAACCTTTATTTCGTGCTCGTTTGCGCAATATATCCTACCAGCACATTGTGTAGTTTACGTCAGCGAATTTATTATTTTTACAATGAGTGCCAAATTCTTGAAGCGGTACAATGCAGTGTTTTTAGTGAATGGAATAGCCGGCAATGTCAGATGCTAATCTCATTGAAAATGTGTGGTCGTACATGAAGATGAAACTCAAAGGAAAGCCAGTGTACACGGTGGAGCAGCTGTCATTTCAAATTAAAAAGATATGGCGATCTTTGCCAAAGAAATATGCAGATAACCTCGTCGAAAGTATGGAAAAAAGGTGTCATGCAATAATCAGTAACGGAGGTGATTGGACAAAATACTAGGGTAGGTAATTGCGCAATAGCTAATAATGTGTACTTCAAAAAAAAAATAAAAAACTGTCTAAATGTTTATAGTTTTTTGATTATGGCAGACACTTTCTTATTGAACAGACTGTATATGAATAATTTTTAAATTTTCTAATTTATTTGCTAAAAGCATTGTGTTAATTAAATACTTTCAAAATTAATAAAACTAAAAACATATAAATAATTATCTAATAAAATTTTAATGATTTTTTTAATTACATTTTATATTATTGTAAATTATTATTTCAGATTCAAATAAATTAAACTAGTAGCTATTTTAAATTGATATTCTAAATAATATTTAATATAAAACAATAAAAAGTATTATAGTGTGTAAAATAATAATATAAATAATAATATATAAGTTCCTTTTAATTCTTAGTTCTTACATCTTGATATATTAATGAATAATAAAGTTATCTCTTTTATTTCTCGATTCCTTCATATACGTGATACATACTCTGTACAAAATTAATTGTACATAACGCTTCGATCATCTAATTACGTTATCATCGCAAAACGCCATTCCACTTTTCATTTCAATTTCTTTATTTGTGTCATTTCCGTTTCTTCCAATTCATTTCACTTTTTAATTTCAATTTATCTTATTCTACTTTAATTTCCATCTATTTCGGAATATCTGAAGCGAAAACAACTGATAATAACGATATTCCATTATATTCGAAATATCGGAATTCTAAACTGCTGAATATTGTTGAAAATTTACAACTAAAGCAGGGGAAAATTTACGACTAAAGTGCGGGGCTAATAGGTCAAAAAATCACAAATAGATGTAATAATTATCTAGGTGCATTCTGAAAATGTCTATTTAAGCAAGGTGAGAGACTCGTGATGAATGCGTACAGACCGAGCGGTTTTCTCTGGGCGAGCGGACTGCCGGGAACAGGGAGAGTCAGCCCCATCAACAATTCACTCGAGACACTTCACTCGATCCGTCCAAGAGTGGGGACTCCACTATAAGAAGATAAATGACAGTACAACAAGTCAGTTTACAAGTGGACCACCGTACCCGCACTGATATCAGTTACGAGACTTCCAAGTTTCTCTCTTTTCTGCGTTCAAGAGCTACTCAGCCGCGACGTATTGCGAATTCTTCCACAAGCAAGAGGAAAGACACCGAAGAGGTAGGTCCCACAAATTTAAATTTGGTCTCGTCGATCATGCCGCGCCCAGAAGCTGACACCAAACTCTATTTCCGCTCTGAGAAAATCTGACACTTGTTGCTGACCCTGGGTTTCCGTCTATCGTCGTACATAGGCATAATACATTGTGATTTTATGTTGCAACGTAGAATAAAAAATTCGCGAGACATCCGAAAAACTTCGCCAGTAATTCTTTACAATGTTTTAATACAATTTTCGAGACGAATTTTTCACGTGATGATTTTAAATAAAGCTTCATTATTTCTTGAATTTGCATTTTGCGGTCATCATCGCCAAACATTTTACAATAAAAAATTGTATGAGAAACTCTGAAAGGCTTTAAAATTTTGCAACATTAATTTCATAACGTCTAACAAGCTCCAAAATCATTTAGATTAATATTTAACATAAACATTTCGATTAAAACGTGTTGATAGATGAAGAATTTCTGGTTTTTGTTAATCACAAGATGAAAATAAGTATACTTCGCTTATGTAACTTTCACTGACTAGTAACGTCCTATTTTTTACAACAATGAATGTCGGTAATACCTGAGCGAATATCAGCAATTTCGAGTTATTTTGTCGAATAATACTTTATCAGCTCGATATTACGTAACGGATCCGGAACTTTTAATCATGATATCAATCTACAATCTCCGTATGTGGTACTGTTTACCATATAGCGGTCAAAATGCATAAACATTTTTATTTACAAATCAAAGTATACAAATATCTATTTTTTAAATGAAAAATACTGATTGTCCTACAACTGATATAAATTAAACGCAGGATTATTTCATGTAAAATTTAAATATTTTATAACTTCTATTAACAGAATCACCGGGATACTAATCAATTTTTAATGCAAATTATAAAAACTTCTTATTAAGTCAATTATAAGAACTTCTTATTAAATCAAATCTTTAAGATAAATAATAAATATTATTCGTTGTTTTATTTAAGAGATTTTTATAGGATTTTTATAGAAAAAAATTTTTTATTATTAATTTATTAAGTGTTAAAATTTGGAAAATGAAAATGTAAAAACTATATTCTTAATATTTAAAAATTAATTGAGTAAAACACTCTAAATTTCCATTAAAAAATCGATATTTGCTTTATTGATATCTACGTTTATTTTAAATTACAGAAGACGTCATTCTTTTATTATGACCGTACATTAAATCAACATTTAGTCTCATTAATTGAAATCTAGATTGTTTACATTGTTGAATGCAAATTTACATTTATTTTTAAACAATATCGTTGTATGGAATCACAATAAAGAAAATTATTAGAAGTGGACTTCCGCGATACAATAAATAACAATAAATAAATGAATAAATTCTTAAGAGATTAGATTAAATAATCGTGTGGTAAAACATTTAGGACTAGAGATACGGTTTTCTATTTTATACCATATATTTTTGATAATCAATTACAAATGTTTAAAGATATCGTCTAATTAATTATCGAGATTCGCGCTATATTTAAATATAGTTCCAACTTTACTATGATATATTCAACCTATAATAGTAAACAGCCCGTAATTGTTTATTACTATTGATATCGATTTAAATCTGATAAAAATCAAAGAATATTTTTGCAATGCTAAATTGTTACAAATTGTTATAAGTGAGTACTTGTCGATCGATTACGAGCGTTTTCTCCATAAGCCATCTCTTGAATTTAAAACCCGACGTTTGCGTATAAAAACTCTAGAAAATATAATCATTACTAACAATTATCTAAAAATAGCAATTTAATAGTACGATTTATACCGTGCGGAAATGTTTCGACTGGAATATCACTGCTAAATCACGTGAGAGATCCTCTCTATTCAAATAAATAAGAGATTCAAGGGCAACATGTCGTTTGTTCAAGGATAACATGTCGATCAACTTCAGGAGCATTCTCATAAGTGATCCCGTGGATGAGTCTTGTGAAGCGCTGCTCGCCGAGCACGATGTTCCAGTTACGACGAAATACAAGCTACCGAAGGATGAGCTGATCAAGGAACTGCAGGTGGGTGCATCTTTTTAATGCTGTAAAATTGCGTGAGCTAGCGAGCAATTTCCGTGCTTTATTGAGCCAAAGCGAATCGCGATGGGAGTTCATCTTGCAAAGTTATAAATTCCGCTCGATATCCGACGTCAGAGACTATAAAAACGGAGAGCTCCGTCTTTCGTGGAGAAAGAGAACGTAATTTAAAGTCGGAAACTTGAAAAGAAATTTACTTAAGAGGCTATTTCGAGCTCTCCTCCCGTTCTCTAAAAATTCCACAATGCAGTTCTAAATTCTTAAAGACTGTTCTAAATTTTAATCTAGGCAGCATTGATCATTTTCATTTAAAGATATCGGTCTTCTCATAACTTTCTTTAAGTGCATCTCTGAACTTATAAATCTAAGTTTAAGTCTAATTGATTTCAAGATAGATAAGCAATAAATATTAATAATAATCCGAGAAAAAATGTTTTACATATAATTATATATAAAATTATATATAATTATATAGAATTACAAATAATTATATATAAAATATGTCCATTTTTATATACAAATATATATATATAAAATTATATATAATTTTATATAATTTCATACAATTGGATATAAAATATTTTTTCCCGAGAAGCAATGGAATCAGAATGCAATGAAGTATAATTGCTATAAACATCTATTGTATTTTTCATCTCATCAAATGTCGATTCATAAAATGTATCTACGTTGTGAATAACATTGTAAACAGCGATTTAATCTCCAAAAGATCGCGCAATTTATTTTTCTTCAAGAGTAGGAGTTATTGGTGATTGAAATCAAGGTTGTTACCAATATACGATCTATCGAGTGAAAAATATCACGTGTTAGATGAGAAGGCATCATCGATAACATTAGATTACACTGGAATTCATGCGGAAGATAAACACAGTTATGATAATAGAACCTCCCGGATCGAGAAGTCGTGTGGGAAAAATGCAATCATTCTAAAATTCTAAGGAAATTGGAAAAAGGAATTCCCGATAAGTAATAGAAATATTTTGCAGCAAATTTACATAGGTATTCAGTTACGAAACAAATTTTTCCATCATTTCTTCAAACTACTGCTAATATGTTTTGTAAACATTTTTTAATGTTTTATAAATGTTTCTCAAATAAATATTTATTTGAATATTTATTTAAAAAATATTGTCTGTTGATTGAATATCCAAATGTTAAAAATTGTGATTTGACATACACATAACGGTACTGATAGTTTGTATTTATATTTGGATAACCAATTGTAAAACTACTAATGCCGTAATGCGAATCACTTTTAACATTCGGAAAACAGTTTGAAAAAATTCTCAATATAATAGAGCATAGTGAAAAAAATGAACAAACTAAAAGATGGTGATTTATGATTATATTAGAATTTCGGTTATCTCAGGTAGAATTCTAATATACATTTAACCAGAAGTTTCTGATTTGTCCATCCATTTTCAATCAGAATTCCAATTAATCCAATCTGACATTTTTCTCAGTGCACAGTTCGGACAATGTTTCCTGTTTATATATATATATATATATTCGAATTAGATAAATTTTCCCTTTCTTTATTATTAGATAACAAACATATAAATATATATAATTTAATATATTTAAACAGTGAAAAATAAAGTAAACAGCCACAAGGATCTACATAGCGAAAGTTATTTATTTAAAATAACTGGTTAACAAAGTAAACGAAATAAGTATTTAAATAAATGACTTTCGCTATGTAAATCTTGTGTGTGGCTATTTACTCTTTTTTTTTCATTGTTTATATTTATAAAGCCACGTTAATATTATTAAATATATATATACATTTCTACACAGAAGCAAATGCAGAAGTGTTTGTGACTAAAAAGCAAAATGTGTTTTATTAGAGATAAAATGTGTTTTATTATAGGCTATTCGTTTTCATTCACACGCTAAGCTGATTCTACCAATCAAATGCTATCTGCAAATATTTTTTTTAAGCACTTCTGATTGTCGATAAGCCGATTAAACTTACATAAGGATGGACTTTTGTTTTTTCAACAAATTAATATAATCATCACATGCTTCTCTGTATAAACAAAAAATAAATAAAATTGTCTAAATCATTTTCTTTTAAACATACGCGTAAATAAAAGAATATTAATAATTATATTTAATATCTATTATTATTTTAGTTATTTAAAATAATAAATCTAATTACACATGGTTTTGCAAAAGTATTTAAAAATTTTGGATCATCAGAATAATTATAGAACGCTTAAAAACATGCTGCGAGAAGATTTAACATTTTATCAAGTTTTAAAAAAACGCCTTACATAACTATACTCAGTCCAAATAAAATTATTTTCAAATTCGTATTTATAGCTAAATTTTTTAATACTTCAGCAAAATCATTCTTTATACGTGCATTCTTTATTCGCAATCCATCTTAAGGCAGGACGTTTTCGATCTAATGCAACCGTTTTATACATACAAGCATAGTATGCAAATGCAAGTAGCATGTGGAACGTATCTTGGTTTCTTTTTCTACCTTCTCCATCTTTCTTCGTCTCATGGTTTCTTTCGATCCCTGTTTGTTTTTTTTTTTTTTCCTATTAATTACTCGTGTTCGAGTCGGCGATCCGGTTATATCCAGTTAACTCGGCTGTTGCGCATACCGGTTAGCTGCGACGGGTCGTTGTATCACCGGTTTTGTCTGCATGTGCTGCATACATGGCATGCACACATAGGCGTCTATACATAGAGTTCTGTCCCTTGGCCATTCATATTTCTCAATAGATCTATCAGGTATCCCTGCGTTCCTTCTATGCTCAATTTCTTCTCTCTACCTGCCATTTCCCGTTTCATTTTACAGAAAATTCAAGTGTAAAATAAAAAGCATCTCAAGTTGCACCTGTATCGCGGAATATATTCGGTATAACGTAAGCTAGAAAATAAAAAGAAATTATGCAGCTAAAAATTATATAGCTGATAATTCGAGTCGGACCAAAATTGGAGATTTTATAAAATCTCTCTCGAAATAAGTATACATAACGTGGACGGGAAAAGAAAATTTAAAGTAAAGAGCGAGTAGATTAAAACAGGAAAAGAAAATTTTCTAAATGTAGTTCTATTTATAATGGTCGAAGAGAGAAGATGGAAATTCTGTAAAAAGTGAATTTCGAAAAAAGTGAATTAATTGGAAAGAATTGTTATATAGAAGAGAGATTTAATTTGTGAAGCCGTGAATTTTTAATTGCCAAAATTGGAGAATTAGCAAAATTTTTTTGTCATTTTCATTTCTTTTGTATTTGTTTGAATTTTTTCTGGCAAAAAAACAAGAAAGGTTATTTCTTTATTTATAACTAATATAAAAAATATCTCTCTCTTCGCAAATATTAATCGATGCAGAAAATATCTTTTAAACGTGTTTAGCATTTAAAAGATATTACATAAAGATTACATAATGTCGTTTTCGGCAGTGATCATTCTATATAAATGCCAATTGATGAAAATAATGTCGATAGACGCCTATGCGACCACATGTTATCCTTATCTCCATTTTTACGTGGATAATTATTACTGAAGCTGATTAGGCATGGAATACATTTCCACTTTGCGCAAGTTTAGTAACCAGTTTGCACAAGTTCACAAACAGTAGTCTCCATAAGCAATGAGCTGAATCATATTTCTTAATCATAGAGCCACAGAAATACATATAATTCACGTCTATGCATCTCTTTTCACTTATCGCATTTAATGCAAAAATAGAAAAATACAAATTTAGAATATACTTTTTAATGAAAACCAGAAAGATCCGGGACAATTCGATAAGATCTAATTTTACTTTCATGATATATTGAAAAGCATGAATAAATTTGATCGACTTGAAATCGTATACGGGACCTAATATTATAGATTCTGATATTTATATAAATGTTATATAAATGTGATATTTATATAAATTTTGTATTAAAAAATATGCAAAGCAATTTTTTATTGTTACGTGGAAGCTTGCTGCATTTTGGTCGACTTGAAACTCATATACAATTTAAAAATATAAATTCTTATATGAATATTCATATGAATATTCTTTATTAAAAAATATACAAAATGATTTTTTATTATAATGTGGAGACTCGCTGCATTTTTGCCATTAATATCTTTAAACGATTAGCAATTTTAACTTGAATTAAATGGTTTAAATAAATTCCAAAATTTACTTTCGCATTTGAAAAAAATCATATAACAAAACTAAATATACATACACATTTCTAAATTGCAATAATCCCGAATTTATCGCTTCTTGCTTTTCTAAATAAAAAATTTGAACTCATATTGTTCAATTTTTCTTGAACAGAAGATGAAAATGTATATTCTCTTTTTTTCAACAGAATCATGATGCTCTTATCGTCCGATCCGAGACCAAAGTTACGGCAGATATTTTCGCTGCTTGCCCAAATCTCCGCGTTGTTGGTCGAGCTGGTACCGGCGTCGACAACATTGATCTTCAAGCTGCCACACGTAAAGGAGTGGTTGTATTAAAGTACGTGTGCGATCTCATACTTTTGTCTATAAACTTTTTTTTTTATAATGAAATTAGGTAGTAGAATAGATTTCTTATTAGGAGGCAATTTGGTTTAACAGCTCTTCTCAAGTGCATCAATTTTAAGCGTAAAACTTCCATTTGGCATTTTGCAAAAAAAAAAGATAAAAATCGATTTGAGAAGAGCTGCGATTTAAAACTGCCTCTCAATCGAAGCTACTTTTTTTCTCGTCTGAAAGAATTTCAGAACAGTTTTCCAATAATTTGTGATATAATAGGTTTGCTGGTACAGGTTTGCTCATCAAACAGTAAAATAGAATTTCTTTTATTAAATCGGTTAATTAACGTCTCTACGAGAATTATTTAATTAAATTAATCTTGAATTATATCTTTATCTCTGTAATTGAGACCAGATTTATAATAGCACAAAAATAAGCGATTAAAATAGATTAAAATATTACAATGATTTCGTGACAAAGCCTACAAGTAACCATTACAATATATCACGTGATTTTTAATAATTGCATCGTTTTTAATAATTGCAGCACTCCGGGAGGCAATAGCATTAGCGCTTGCGAGTTAACATGCGCCCTGATCTCCGCGCTCGCGCGCAACGTCGCGCAAGCTGCACAGTCGCTGAAGGAAGGTCGATGGGACCGGAAATTGTATTCTGGATACGAGTTGTCCGGCAAGACCCTCGCGATCCTCGGGACGGGTCGCATAGGCCGCGAGGTGGCTCACAGAATGCAGAGCTTCGGCATGAATATCGTTGCCTATGATCCATTTTTGACAGACGAGATCGCCGCCCAGCTCGGCATCAGAAATCTCAACACGGAGGAAATATGGCCCATCGCCGACTATATCACCGTACACACGCCGCTTATGCCTGAAACCAAAAGTACGAATCGTTTGAGCTGAATCTATTAATTTGATGCAGAAGAGATTGTTGAAACGAAAAAAATTACACGAAGTTGCGAATTTTTTTAGCTGAATCGATTCAAAATACTTTTTTTACCTAAAAGAAGTTCATCTTTTTCTTAAAATACTCAGAAACTTTATCTCGAAGAGAATTTAAACGTAAAAGAATAACGTAATATCTTTCATGCCGATTTATTAGAAAAAATTATAATTTAAAAAAAAATTATTACTAATTGGTAGAAGATATCTTTTTATATTATGCAATTTATATTTTTAAATTAATAATAACTGATAAAGTAATTTTAATTCATAATAATTTTATAACAATTGTAAATTAATATATATAGTAACTTTAGTTAATACTTTTGTACACAGCTATACACATATACATATGTATAAGCTATAAAGTTATTATTAATTAAAGACTGTAAAAAGTCGATTGAAATCTACACTTGTTATATAAGAGATTTTAATAATTCTTTATTTCGAAACGAATTACTGTGAATGTAGTAAAAAGTAATCGTGTAAAATCATACCTTATATTTATAAAATAATATAAAAGAATACATGCTTAATCGTGCATGTTTGCAGATTTGATCAACGCAACAACCTTGGCAAAATGCAAAAAAGGAGTGTATATCGTTAATGTCGCACGTGGTGGCATAGTTGATGAGGAGGCTCTTTTGAATTCATTAAAATCTGGTCATTGTGGCGGAGCGGCTTTGGACGTCTTCGTGGAGGAGCCGCCGAAGAATGCAATCACTTTAGAACTCATCAAACATCCAAAAGTTGTTGCGACACCTCATCTCGGTATGTACATATAATACTTTATTTAATTTATATATGTCGCAAATATTATTAAATTAAAACGATAACTTTTTAATTATATTATTTCGATATTAATCTCATCCTTTATATTTCATCAGCCTGTTTAAATATTATAGTAATACAACTTAACATGTTACTCATTTATTACACAGCGACATGATTCGAAAATTGAGTTTTTAATTGCATGTAGAAACGAAACAGCCAAGAGCATAATTAACTAATTAAATTAGACAACACATTGTCATAGAATTTTATGATGTTATATCTTTTAGATATCTTTTAGACATGTATGTCCCAAAAGACGTCATTATGACGTAATAATTGATGATATGCTAATTAATACTTTTATTCCTGCAATCATTAATTATTACATCAAAATTGCATTCCAAAATTAAAATATATAGTTTTCACAATTTAAATTTTTTAATTTATTTTCTGGAAAAAATAAAACTATTTTTGTTTTTAGCTGTGTCACTAATTGTAGCAAATGAGCGATATCCTCTTCCATATCTTTCTTCTTTTAAATGCCTCATTATAGAAACAATGGAATTAATGGTTATTCGATTATAGGTGCCAGCACGGAGGAAGCTCAGCAACGAGTAGCAGTAGAAATTGCGCAACAATTCTTGGCTTTATCTGGCAAATCAACAGAATATACCGTCACTGGTATCGTAAACGCTCCGGTCTTATCTGCTGCTATGACGGCCGAGAACGAACCTTGGATCGAATTGTCAAAGAAATTGGGTCAATTAGCCGGTCGCTTCCTCAAGGGCAAACTAAATACAGTAATTCACAGCCGCACTGTAGGAAATGCCATGCAGGACAAAAAGTTCATACACACAGCCGTTCTGGTCGGCATATTAACCGGCCAAACGAAGAATGGCTTGAATCTAGTTAATGCGCCCACTCTGGCGCAAGATATTGGCGTTGAATTGCAAGAAGGCCACGTCGAAGATCACCATAAAGCGGTCATCGTGAAAGTTGGAGAACATATCATCAAAGGTAATATTATAATTTAATATTGTGAAAAAAAATTAGATTTTAATTCAAGGAATCTGTGAAGTTAACACTCTACTTTCAGAAGGTGATTAATAAAGATTAGAATTAAGATCAAAAACAGAATTTTAAACCGTAGGAATTGAAAATATTTCCATTTGACAACTGAGACGTATATTGCTAGAATTTTTTTATTTTTGTCACTATCATTTAAAAATTTCAAGTTTTTAATTAAATTTCTTGAAGAGCTATCTAGAATTCCAGTGAAATTTTTCGAAGTTCTTAAATTAAAATTTTTAACAATTTTTTATTGCGCATTATTTTACATAGTAATATCTATGTTATCAAATAGAATGAAGTACATATAATCTGAATCATTTTCAATTGAACATTACAGTGATGTCATTGTGTAATTACAGGAACTGTGCGTGACAATCAATCGCTGTTGCTCGCTTTGGACGACGCAGTCTTTAGCAATGGCATCGTGCTCAGGGACTATATTTGTTTATATCGGGCGAATCGAGTACAGGATCTCGCCAGTATCGTAAACGTTTTCTCGTCGAAAAGCATCAACATTCACAATTTGAATGCCAATGGCAGCTGGGTCATCATTCACACCGATCAGCAGGTCTCAATTCAAGTGGACGAAATTGAGAGCTTTTGAGCGCAATTGCGTGCTTCCAAGAGAGACATACTGACAATGAGTGATCCTTGAGAAGAGACGGAATGTAAAATGAATGCGGGAATGCCCGAATTTTGAAGAATCCAGTATTGTTCAATTACTAAAAAATGTGGGTACTTTTTGTAGAGACCGGAGCTTATTCTAGAAATACATGTCTTTAATTATGTAAACTCCATTTATATAATATATCATTATTTATTATCTGCTTATCAAAGTAGATGAATAAGAAAAGCTAGCTAAATCAACATTTCTAATGCATATTACAAGTATTTAGTTTTTTTTTAAGAAACAAATTATATATAAAAAAATATAAGTGTAATATGTTCTAGTTTCATCATAAATAACATATTAATCGTTAGCAAATAAGTCGTTATACTTTTTACATATGTACGCATGTAGAAATGTAAAAAAAAAAGTATATAAAATGTGTCTATAGAGGTATTTATATTTTTATATTATTAGACTTTGTTAATAAAACATCACATTTTATCAAATCACCGTTTCTGTGTCATTACTGACTATACAAGGGTCTAAGCGTCTATATACAAACGAACAATTGCTTGTATAAAAGAGATAAGAACTCTACTCTAAGTATAGAAAAAGTTGATCTTGAATAGGTTCTAATGTTAGTAAAAATTCTATAAAAAATATATTTATGGAGAAAAAATGCTCATGGAGAAAAATAGCATATTCATAAAAATGTCCGATTTTAACGTCTAGGCCCTTGCAGTCAAAATATAATCCTACAAACATACATCATTAATATTATCTTAAATGATCGCTTTTACCATTATTTTTTCAATATAGATTATACTTTGAAACAAGAACATCCAATGTTCGGAGAGACCAACGAGTTCTTTGGTGTATAATTCGATTCTCAGATGTTAATTATACAACTTGCAACAATTGTACACAATAAATTGATTACGCATCAAATTAAATTGAAATGTCTATCTCATAAAAAAATAATATTGATACGTGACATTGCGTAATGAGATATCACATCTTTCAATGTATATACACTGTGTTGTTTAACGTGATAAACAAATATCAAAAGCAACAGAAATATCAAAGTTGAATGTAAAATAAACTTATTATAAATAAACTGAATGCAAACAATTTATCAAATTAATTTACACGATGAATATTCTTAACTATTATAAACTCTGTTAAGAGTTAAAAATTAAATATACAAAGTCTTAAAATAATGCAAACAGAAATAGGGGGTGGAACAAATATTTGAAGTACAAATGGATTATTTATAATACACTAAATTGCGATAAAGTTTGGGCGCTTAATAAATATGAAATCGGATCAGTTTAACAAAAACATATTATATTCTCTCGTAACTGCCCGCTCGACAACAATTGAAGGCAAAGACGACGCCATCCTGCAAAAATATGGAACAATCATACTCTTGATATAATCATCTTACTAGAAGTATCGCAGTCACTTACTCTGACTAGCGAAGGAAGTTTGCACCAGAATTCATGATTAGGCACCATCTCCCAGCCTGTAGCTCCCCTCAATGCTTTCAGCACTATGATACCACCAATGAAATATACGCCAGCACTGACAAAGAACAAAATAACTAAAAGGGAACCCGTCGATAATCCTATTTCTCGTTGTAATTTACATCCATGTGGTGAAACCAGCTTAAAAACCTGTAAATTTTATTAGCAATTAATTAACTTATACATATCATCATAATAATAGACAATATTATTGCTATTTTCTATTACTTACATATGTTTTAGCGCTAACAGAATCAAGTACAAAACTCGTTTCCTTGTCTCCCATAAAGCATACAATGTTTACTATAATTTTAGTGTCATTATGATGTATTTCAAAAATTGGAAATTTGTCATTATCCGATAATTTCATTTTTGTTTCTTTTACTGTCCCAGTTAATACTGTTTTATTGACATTGTGCAATATACATAACTACAAGAACATGACATTTATTTGAGAGATACCATAGAAACATCAATACATAATGCAAATAATGTATTTTTTAAATTGAAACTGTTTGAAATCTTACTGATACATTTTCCGTAGAACAATTTGCCTTGTTCTCTATCGTTATATTTACATTTGTGCATGGATGAAAGTAGACTGTATAATTATCTCTTGTAGTTGAAAATGACCTGAAAATTAATTAATTGATCAATTAATATTCTATATAATGCACTGTTCTATAGATATATTTTAAATGAACATTAAAAATATTAAGTACACAATAAATACATGTTTAAATTCTTATAGCATTTTTCTCTGAGAAAACTAATGCAACACTGAGTGCAATTGAATACAAATCAATTTATATATTTTTAGTGTTAATAAATAATTTAACTACATATTTTTTTAATTACATATTTTTTTCTTTGTTGAAAACTTCACAACGTTAAAAGAATATTATTCACTGAAAAATTAAGTAAACTGACATGTACTTAATTGTAATGTTGCACTAATTTTCCCAGTGAAAAACGCTATTAAATAGCAAAGATATAAAAATATCAAATATCTGTAAAAATAAGAAAGAAATTATATAAACACTAAAATTCTAAAATAATAACACAAAGACTAATAGAATTAAAACATTTTGTTCATTGCTTATTTAATCAATTACTTCAAAATTTTTTCCATACAAAAGGATAAATAATTAATAATATTTTTTTTTTTTTCTATAGGAATTCGATAATGAACATATCGCAAGCATAAAAACAAAGACAAGCCGGAGGTTGGACAGAGAGGTTAATCCACCAACTTTGCGTCAGCGAGGGCGGTCAAATTGTAATAATAGCCGTTCGGTAACGAGCAAGTGCAAGGTGTCTCCTGCACGCACTCTGATGATGTCGTGTCGCAGAAGAATATCAGAAATAACGAGAGCACGATAAACGTCGCATTACTACGGCACATTTTTCCCAGCTTTGTTTTCATTGACATTTGTACTCTTGACAAGTCATACGATGATCGCGATACATTCCCGAAAAATAGATGTCGTTCGTACAATATGATATCGATGCAGATGTAGATAATGGAATTTGTAATTACCAATAGTCACATAAGTCACTGTACATTTTTATCGATCGTAGGTTAATGTTCTATCTTAAAAAATTACCGACATCAAAGATCTAAAAAAAATGGACATTGAATGAATAAAAATGCATTCAGAATTGAAAAGAATTCATTTTAACATTTATGAATCCGTATTTCAGAAAATCTAAATATATTCATTTCAATTCTTGTTTATTGTTATTTGAAATATAAATATTGACACATATGTAAAAAAAGATGCAATATAACTTTAATGTTAATACTTTTAAGCGAAATAAATCACGCGCGTGTAAGATTGCAAAGATGAATATTTCTGATCCACAGTTTATAAATGTAGCACGATTATACGAACTAAATATCGATTTATCATTTGCAGCCTTGAAAAGTGGACGTATGTACTCAAAAAAGTGAACAAAAAAGTGCTATGTGGTTTACATCGTCAGGGGGCAGTAATGTGCTATCCTAACCTAATTCTGTTAAAAAATCGGAAATCCATACAGAGATCTAGAAGAAGAAGAATTTGATTCTATTATTATCGAAAATGCCTGGTTGCTGTGTTGAAAATTGCAAAAATTGCAGCAAAAGAGACTAAAGTTTTGAATATCTGCGCGTTGTGGAGGTGCGCAAAATGGCGGCAGTTGCTTTGTTAATCTAGTGACTTTAATGACACACTCCGACACACCAGGGTATCAATCGTGAAATTTTATCCCTAGGATGGAAAGTGAAAAGTGAAAATTTTTACTATTGAAATAAATGGAGAAATTTTTTATCGCATCCAGTGTGCAGGAGGAGAAAATTACATTCTGATCCGGTTTAAACCCTCAATAGAAACTAGACTAATGATACGAAGCAAAATCCTGTTTTCTGATTGGTTGCAGAGCGTCATATGACGCACATTGAATCCAGTATGAATCCAACATACCAGCTAGAGTTGTGATTGGCTGCTGCTTTTCCATCGAGACACATGTGAACGGGGTTGTTCTAAATCCACCCATGCATTCGCTCGGCGAATTTTCTTCTGCGCTAGCGCAAAACGCGGCTCGCCGCGCCGCTACCGCCACCGTTACATCGCTGTCCTCCGGCCGCCTACCAGCG